CTTCTAAGGAAGTATTCTAGATTTGACTCGTTTCAGAACGAAAACGGTGCGTTCAGCTGTCGAAGAGGTTCTTGATAACTAGTTGGCAGGTCTGTGTGTCATCATCGATATCAATATTTTCAACTGCACCTACATCAAGATGTTGGCCAAACTTTGGCTTTACCCGGCCCCATCGTCAGGAGTGAATTGGTGATGGGGCCCTGACTTTGTGCTCAGCACAAAGCACCACGACTTCTACAAGCTGTAAGTCTGGGCCCCTTCCCCCTGAAAATTTGGAGAATTAGAAGCCCCGGAAAGTCATTCCTTACGGTGCCAAAAACCCTATCTTTCTGATTTTGTACAAAGATACTCCAAATTAATCAATCTCTGCTGAACTGTAGAAATTCTGCTGGGGCTTAATTCTCACTTGCTCCGTGGATCCCATCCTAAGATAAAACGTGCTGACTTTATCTTTGCAAATGCTGCTGCAAAACTCAAAAGTTCTGCACACAGAAATACAAAAGTCTATTTAAGGAAAATTCATGTAGCCTTCAACTGCATGCGTGCGAATTTTAAAGTGACAATCTTTACTGCTTTTAATAACCTTCTATTTAAATTTGCAAGTTTACAATGAAATTCATGATGGTAAAAACAACAAGGCAATTAATACTCCTGGATATACTATAACGACAAAAACAAAATTATAACCTACTTGTTCGAGACACGAGTCAGCTAATAGAATGTATGTTAATTGGCACCTTAAAATGAAATTAGTTTCCAAAATATGCTATTTAATTGAGCAGCACAGACCGCCAAGAAACTTGTTAAGTATGAAAGTACAGGAATGAAAAAAAAGGACGTTATCACAACTTACCTGTGTATGTTCACCTTTTGAAGTCAAGAAGAGAAATATGATTCAACACTGTTTTTATAAAATTTTGAATATCTAAAATCATAACAAGAGGGGGGCGCTCCTGTGCCAATTGCAGACTTTTGTTGACAAATGTTTTGGTGCCCTCTTGAAGAATTGGGTTCCACTTGACAAGTTGAAATAAACAAATAAATAAAATCACGAAACGAAACTGCATTTTAATGAGATGGCACCATGTGAAGTCAATTGATAATGACTCTTTTTGCATTTTAAATGAGTTTATGCAAAAATAGCAGCTTGAACCATGAAATTATACTATAAAAATAGGAAATAAAAAAAAACGATTCATATTAGCGCTAATTAGAAGGATGGGTTGTATAAATAAGATGGAAATTTGCAATGAAACTATACATCTAAACAATATTTAGGTAAAAACATCACAATTCCAGTATTTGGTAAATATAGTTTAAACTTTTGAATGTAAATGTTTTTACACAGACATACGCACGGTTTTCTTTAAACATTGAAGAAACAGATGTTTTGTTGTCGTAGAGAAATACAGATAACTTGAATGAGGCTAAAATAGCATATTTAGTCGTCTATATCTCTTTAAAGGAAACCTACAAAGAAAATAATTGCCTTCCAAAGAGTTGCGTTAAACATACAATTTTATATTAAAATATGTCATGAACCTAACCTTTGAAAAAGTTTAAGGAGCACCTTCACTATCCGTTCGACCAATCATACATTAGTTTCAGAAACAGGATTTTTTTTTAGCTTACATTATTATTGATAGTGTTCACAGCTCATCGTCGAAATTTGAGCCTTCAAATCCATGTATATCCATAATTATTGACGTTTGAAAGTTAAACGTCATACATAGAAACACATATAAAGGAATACACAATGAAATTTCTAGTTTGAGGTATATTTGAAGGGATTTTCGTGCGTTTTAGTACTTCTTAAGACTATTAAAGCACAATAAATATCCAAATCAAATCGCCGAAAATGCCGACTGTTCCCCTTTAAAACAGCGAATCGAATTGAAGTCACGTTTCTGGTTCCATCACAATTCTAAAATAGTCATAAACTGTAAGCTTTGAGGCGCGTGCATCTGTATGCTACTTAGGTTAATGAATAACGTCGTTAGTTGATTTTTATCAATTATGGAAATTACTCGCTTCTGGTCTAACGTTTGTGGTTCCCGTAGTTTCAAAAATCATGGCGAGATTATGACCTCAATGGTAATATAATATTTACTTACTCAATTAATCATACACAATAAATCAACCTAGAAAGTCGAATGTCAAATTGCGCGTGTTTCATGCATTGAAATAAAAAAAAACTTGTTTCTATAAGAAATTAATTAATGATTTACGTTCTATTGTTTACGTCTACATTCTAGTTTTAAGTTTTGTGTCAGAATTTTATGTGTATGATTATATCCAAATGATCTTTGATACGGTTGAATTTTGGTATGATTCAACAAATATAAGTTACCAGAAAGAAAGATTTTTGTGCTCAAATTTATGATAACAATACACCAAAATCTAGAGAAACGTGTCCCTTTAAGTTTTAACTTTTGCAGACTGTCCCTTTAACAGTGCCATGAAGAGTAAGACTACAAGGGAAACTTTTCTAAGATAGCAGACATACATACTCCTTAATATAACTAATTTCGAGATATATTTTACGTGCATAGTTCGCTATATAAAAATAACATGACATAATTATTGATTAAAATGTCTATCAGCTGCCAAAATGCATATTGACAGTTTCGTTAATGGGCAAATATTCATCTGTAGATACGGGTCTAGATACACTTTCAATATTTTGACCTTTTTACCACTATGTCACATGTACTGAAAATTAATACTAAAACTAAGGTAGAGTTACGTTGATGTACATCATTATAATTTTTGACATCCATCATCTCCACAAGGAAACCGTCGTAAATGTGGAGAGAATATTTTGTTATTATTCTATTAACTTGTATTTTAAAGCATTAAAATGAGAGATTTTACAGTAGCGAAAATGCGTTTGAAATAAAACAATGCAACACAAAGGTGCCAAATATGTTAAGACAGTTCTTTTTTTTTAACCTAAATCTCTACTGAACTAGTTTGTCATTGTGCATTGTTATAAAGCCACTTTTGGCAACTTTTCTGATATTTCTCGCATGGGACTTAATCTCTTGGTTGTTATTTATCCGATAATCTTATCTGTTTATTCCACTAAGCCAGTAATCTCAAAGACAATGATAATCTACAGGATGCTTGACGTATTTGTCTGTTTTATTTACAAAGGTTGCATGAGTCAATAAACATTTCTCTATCAAAATTTATCGGTTATGAGACACCTGTTTCATATTTCTCTATCAAAATTTATCGGTTATGAGACACCCGTTTCATCATGAATTATGTTAGCCGCGTATTGAATACAATGCTATATGTTTTAGTTTAAAACAACCCATATATATTGGTATTCAATGATCAAAAATTATTCCGGGTACAATCCCTGCAAATATCGAGACAATACCTTCAAAATTCAATTTGTCCTACAAATACAAACTGACCCGAAACTATATCTATACTATACCCCCCGCCCCTCCCTCTCCTCTCCCCCTTCGACCAACTGCAAAACGTATCGCCGCCCCTGCAGGGTTTACATGTAAAAAGCGAAAAGTCGTAGCTTATTTTGTCAACACTTCCCCTGTTAAGGAGACAGATTTGCCAGGAATTTCACTGTGTATTTCTATATAATATGTCTGTTCTATATACAGAAGAGAAACTTCGAATGACTATAACTTGTGACTAAATCATTTTATTTCAGGCTGTAAACTAATAAATTCAAGAGCTTCGGTAAGATATCTTGTCTACTAAGAATCATTGTAAATTTGTTTGATGTTGACTTCAACGCAAATGAAAATCTGAAATGGTACATAATTAATGTAAAGGGTGTGCACGAAACTCGAAACTCTTTTTTGAAACACTTGATAGTACATCTCGTTTGAGAAGTCCAATACTATGTGATTAGTGCTCTCGATTTTATCATACTTTGGACTTTGGATGTTTACTGAAATTGTTTTGCTTGTAGGATTCTTTTATATCTATATAACTGGTTTGTATTGTCTAATCAATATAGCGGAAAACGTCATGATGCACAGAAACAACACATAGTTTAGCCTGTGTAATGAATACTTGATGATTGTGATAAGCCATGTAAACTGTAGTCCAAAAGCTTGATGTATATCACATTTATTAAAACTTTCTGCATACGACACGCATTAATACGTACCGTCGACAAATTATTGAATTCTCTATATTATGGAATTTACCAGTCACGTATACTTCACAGGCGGGGTCTCTAAATTCGAATAAAAAGTGAAAACAATGGGAGTTGAAATTTTAATCAACTGTTTAACATAATAGATTTTTATCACTTTTAACCATGTGAATATATTAGCATTTATGAACAAACACAGTGGTTACGTTTTACATAGTTGACTCGACAGTCTACTTCCTTGACAGTTCCAATAGAGTTCAATTAATTTCTGTTTGTTCATATAAAGGAATATAGAACAAATTACCATTTGAATTCTTTTGGTACATAACATATTATCGTGAGAGATTAGGCTTTAAGCAATTCTCCAGGTAAGAATCTTCCCCCTTTTATTTTAAGATTGCCTTTTTCAGCATATTTTCTCGCTTACCAATAAATTTGTAATTTCGTGTTACATGCTAGTTTGTTCGATGTAATGTGTAGATTGTAGTTTTTTTTTAAGATTTAAATGTTAGGAACATTTTGTGCTTAAAGATCTACACGTAACCAATACTGATATTGTGTTTTTTTAATCTACACGTAACCAATACTGATATTGTGTTTTTTTTTAAATCTACATTAACCAATACTGATATTGTGTTTTTTTAAAATCTACATTAACCAATACTGATATTGTGTTTTTTAAATCTGCACGTTACCTATACTGATATTGTGTTTTTGTAAAATCTACATTAACCAATACTGATATTGTTTTTTTTTTTTAATCTACACGTTACCAATACTGATATTGTGTTTTTTAATCCACACTAACCAATACTGATCTACTTGTAACCAACACTGATATTGTGTTTCTACTGATCGACACGTAACCAATACGACTATTGTGTTTCTAGATCTACATGTAACCAATACGACTATTGTGTCTCTGGATCTACATGCAACCAATACTGATATTGTGTCTCTAGATCCACATGTAACCAATACTGATATTGTGTCTCTAGATCCACATGCAACCAATACTGATATTGTGTCTCTAGATCCACATGTAACCAATACTGATATTGTGTCTCTAGATCCACATGTAACCAATACTGATATTGTGTCTCTAGATCCACATGTAACCAATACTAATATTGTGTCTCTAGATCCACATGTAACCAATACTAATATTGTGTCTCTAGATCCACATGTAACCAATACGACTATTGTGTCTCTAGATCCACATGCAACCAATACTAATATTGTGTCTCTAGATCCACATGCAACCAATACTAATATTGTGTCTCTAGATCCACATGCAACCAATACTGATATTGTGTCTCTAGATCCACATGTAACCAATACTAATATTGTGTCTCTAGATCCACATGCAACCAATACTGATATTGTGTCTCTAGATCCACATGTAACCAATACTAATATTGTGTCTCTAGATCCACATGTAACCAATACTGATATTGTGTCTCTGGATCTACATGCAACCAATACTGATATTGTGATTCTAGATCCACATGAAAGCAGCACTGATATTCAAGAGCATTATCGAATTCCAATGGGTCTGAATATAGAATCTTCTTGGCGGTCAATTTCTCACTAAAGTTTATAGAGATATATCACTAATCTTGATAGGAATTTAGCCTGAACTGTTGGCGATACAGATATGTTGGTTGTAGTTATCGATTGGTGAGAAATACGATGTGATAACTCCTTCTACAGACAGTTAGTCAATAGTTTTTATGTTAGATTGGCTCATCTTATAGTTTATTATTCTCCCGTTATTTTCTACTTCAACACTTCCATTTAAACAACTATCAGGTTGAACGAAACATCACAGGGGTGTGAGGCAGTGATATATATCCGAAATGACATTGACTGTAAATATGAAATTTAGTCAATAAAATTTCCCTTATTGCATACTATTACTACATACCGTAAATGCTACGATATAATCATCATTGCAACTCGGAACACTCGTGAACTTCATACACGCACCAACACATGTGGTCGTACATTTAATGTTTCGTTTTCAGTGAGACGACCGTAACAACGAAGTTGCTTTCAGAGTTAGTCTACAAGTCTAACCGACTTTGCGTTTTCAGTCTTCCTCGACAAAATCAATAGCAGAAAAAAAGTATGACGTAAAAATCCACTGTATTCCATTTGGTCTATGAAATGTGGATGAAAGAGTCATGAATTATTTATCAGTTGCATTTTTGTAGACGTTCTGGACTGGAGTTGTCATCTATCCAGATCGTATATATTCCAAAATACACCCTAACTGACCTCAATTAACCCAAAACCATCTTCATATCAGTATTGTCAATAAATATATGAGCCAAGACAAATCCCTGTGGTTTCAAAGCTGATAAGGTTGGGAGATGACCAGGTTCTATAGTATCGATTGATGATATTCACTTAGACAGCCATCACAGATTTATCTCGTTTAGTAGTCTTCTTACATCTCCGACGTGTGGAAATTTGGTGAGTTATATTGCGTTTTCAGCTATATTCATTTTGTTATATTATGATTCTAGCTGCATTCCAATGGTAATATTGTGATTTCTAGCTACTTTCCAATTGTAATATTGTGATTTCTAGCTACTTTCCAATTGTAATATTGTGATTTCTAGCTACTTTCCTTTTGTTATATTGTGATTTCTAGCTACTTTCCTTTTGTTATATTGTGATTTCTAGCTCCTTTCCTAATTTAGCCCAAAATCAAATTGAATAATTATTGTTGGTAACTTTAGTTAGGGAATCATATTTTTTTTTATTTAATTGTGTAAGTTGACTCAAACGACCCAAATATTTTCCTCAAGTTAGTCGATAAACCCATATCAACGGGCCAAGGCAACCAAGGATGTCACTCGGAACATTTTTGCCACCATTATCATACGTAGGATGATCAAAAATCGTAATCTGATCGTACGATAATGGATAATGTTTATACATACATGTGTTCATCGGTTCTAGTTGCTAGGATTTCAGAGCAATGACAAATTTGGAAATCTTGGGTAAGAGCAAATTAAAATTTCCTTCTGATGAACATTTCACACATTTTTTGTTATGAGAATTTTTCCTTGTTATTATTTTGATGGGATTCGATGTAATTGGTTACAAACTGGTCTGTTACTCGATATTTACATTACATCAGTGAATATTGCAGTTTGATTTAATTTAAGAGTCTGTATTTTATTGAATGCCAGATTAGTGTTGTTAACGTATTTACAGTAAGGCATTAGAACCTTTCCCTTTTCTCTTGTAAGCAATTATCCGTTTCCTAAGCTATATGAAATCCAATTGTCTTCATAATATATATTCCAGGAACAATGCTGTGATGGTGCATTATTTCAAGAATTGGTGTTCAGTACGTCTGCAATGATTGCAATGGATTAGTAGAGACAAAATGGACGTTTGGGAACTTCATTGCTGAAGAAATGATGTCAAAGTTATCATGGTTGTGAAGGCCAATTATGGGTCCAGTTCGACCCATCTTTGTGTGGAAGTCATTTTTGACTTTGCTGGTCATCTGGTCGTTGGTAATATTTTATTGTAATTTTAATTGCAAGAATAAAGGATGTTTATATCAGATTGAAACTAAGTGTATTGCCGCATACGCATCACTTAAATCGTCAATGGAGACCGGAAGTCCTAAATTACCTGGAGTGTTCAACTATACTGTGATAAAAGTAAACGATGTTAATTGTCGAGCTTTATTTGATGGCGATAAAAGAGAACAAAAGAAAGCTAAAAGTCTGTTGAAGTGGGACAGCGTTAACCATATATCACTGGTATGGTATTACGTCCACACTAGGAATTGTCAACGCTTTAAAAGCGACAGGGGATACATAACCAAACCCTTAACATCCGAAGAACGTGATTTCCCAATAGCCTTTAGCATCCTCATGTTCAAAGACGTAGAGCAGTTTGAACGTCTCTTGCGTGCCATATACCGACCACAGAATTACTATTGCGTACACGTTGACGTCAAGGCCAATGAAGATATACAAAATACCGTCAAAGTGATAGTTGAGTGTTTTGATAATGTTTTCCTAATTCCAACACCGGTGGATGTACAATGGGGCACATTTTCAGTGCTAGAACCCGAACTACTTTGTATGGAATTGTTATTCAAGCATAAAAACTGGAAATATTTTATCAATTTGACTGGCCAAGAATTTCCTCTGAAAACTAATTTTGAATTAGTGAGAATATTGAAGGCTTATAATGGTTCCAATGATTTGGAAGGTACCGTAAAAAGGTTGGTATGGCCTATGCATTCTTAATAAATCCAAAGTAGGTTTTGGCCTTTGTATGATATCACTGCGTCACATTTGGTTGACACTTGAAGTTCAGATTGATTGTTTAGGCAAATATTAATCGCTAAATTCCTATCAAATGGCTTACAATCTTCGCACAATAAACAGAAATACTTCGATAAAACATTATACAACAATACGTTCTAAAACTATTTCAAAAGTTTTTCATAAATCATTTAGGTGGTTTCAAGTACCACTAAGGAGTACTTCTACATTAGGTTGGGAACTAAGACTCTAAGATATAAATAATTGAGGACAATCGCGCAGACAATCCTAAGACCATGTGGAATTCTAGAATATATAGCTTCCCTCATTACTAAAACATGGAAAATCAAGCCAATATTTAATATTGTAAAAGGCAGGCCAGAGATTAATGGATGACTGAGAATGTACAATTACTGAGAGTTCATTTCGTCTGGGTCAAATATCTAGTTTACAAGTAATTACATCACAATAAATGATCGATTTCATTCCAACCTGTACCCTGGCAGATTTTTAGACATTACATCTGTAGTTGCATAAGTACCTAACAATTTCTTTCTCAACTTCGAAATCCAATGCTAGTCCCATCCCATTTGGACAAAAAAGGAGGAAGGGGGGGGGGGGGGTCGAATTGTTAGAAGACGATGTACTTCTGTTGTCAAAATATCACTTAGTCACTAGGTTTGGGAGTAATATAACATGTTCATTTCAAATGATATATTTTTCTTAATTTTACTTCACTTGTAGAAGGAACTGGCGTCTGATTTCTGTTTTAAAAAGTTATTCGTATAGCTGAAATAGTAAAAAAAATTAACATGGTGTATTTCCAATTTCGTTCAAAATACCGTTAAGTATATTTTGAAAGTAAATTATTTCAGAGCCAACAGAAGAAGATGGTTGAAAGTTACGAAACCTCCTCCTCATAGAATCCGCCCAGTAAAAGGATCAGCGCACATTGCTGTTAATCGAGGCTTTGTAGATTATGTTTTGAACAACCAGACAGCCAAAGATTTTTTACAATGGACCAAACTCGTAGACGTTCCAGATGAGATATTTTTTGCAACTTTAAATCATAACCCACATCTTGGGATTCCAGGAACTTATACAGGTAAAAATTATATTTTATTTTAGATTTTGTATAGTTTAAGGAATTGAGAGGATTTCTCGCTATTGTTTGTATTTTTGAGACTATTATAAATTCCTTAAAAACTCAGATTACTTTATTTTGTAAAATACAAATCAAGTGACGTCATTATCTGGTGCAAAAACTTCATCTGTTCTTGGTGATAGTAGAATAATTCAACCTTTTTTCAATTTAAAGTATGATTTTTAAGCCTGAATTCCACTCCTCTTTTTCGTTTTGGAGTATCCTCCAGGACAAGTGCTACAGATCCTTCCATATCAAATATCTTGATCAGAATGAAATAAGTTGTTATAAACATTGATCGTGTATGAGGACCTTCAATTCATTGAATCAATTAATTGACATCAATTAACTTGCGAACAAGTTGATCGTGTATGGGGCCCTTAGTCAGATGATAATGCAGATCGGGATGTTTTCTTTCGTTATAGTATCTTTTAAATCTTGGCTTGTTTTGTTAGTCGACTAAAACGATCTCTTTAGCGTATTGCATAACTTACTTCGGAGAGTGTTGTAACTCGGAAACAAATCAGAACGCAAAACATCCAGACCCGTACGCTACATTTAGGGGTTGAGAACACAGTAAATAACAGAATACTGTTCACTGTTACGGTGTACTTATCCTGATTAACACAACGTTTCAATAATTTACATTGGTATCATCAGGTAAATTATTTAAACGAGTATACCATAAAATTATATTCCGTTATTTATTTAATTGCATCAGATCGCCATTTAATTTGACTTTCTTTCTATTATAGGTATTCCTGAAACTAATACAAATTCGAAACCATTCCTAACTCGGTTTAAAAACTGGGGAACTTGGCCATTCGACTGGCCATGTAAGGGGAAGCGAGTACGGCAAATCTGTGTGTTAGGTATTGGTGATCTCCCTTTACTAGCATCGCGGAAAGAAATGTTTGCCAATAAATTCTATTTTGATTACCAACATTATGCCTTAGACTGCCTGGAAGAATTTCTGTATAACAGAACACGAGATGAATATTTAGAAAAGTTAACATTTAATGATTCTTATTATAAAACATTGGATTTCGTCAAAAATCGAGTTTGATGGAACGGCGTTTATGATTTAAGTTGCCTTTTTAATTGCAAGAATAAACATTGTTCTGTTGTATAGTTATTATATTGAGGTACCTTTTTTAGTTTTCTGATATTTCGTCTCCATTTTATTCTTAATAGTTTTCTAGCCCGCTCAAATGATGCTATTTTCAACCAATCAAAGCGTTCATGTAAAACCTGTTTCTTCTGTAAGGAATTATGGGATAGCGAAACCCAAAGAGGCTGTCTACTCTAGATTGCGATATCCCACAATTCCATATTTTAAAGAAACAGGTTTTACATGGCACGCTTGATTGGTTAAATATATTGCCTCTTGGACAGGCCTTTGGTACAAATCTTGTTAGATAACTATTGAATCTAAAAAATAAGGTTATTAGTATGAAATTACGTCATTACGTTAAAAGATTTGTCTAAATGGAAACTGATTTGTCTTAGTCAAAGTATTTAATTTGTTTTTTCACTTTTAATTCTCTGAGGGATCATATATTGTTAAATTGTTATAGGGTTTGAAACTGGACTGGCTCAACTACCTTAAGGACTGGTTGAACCAAATCCACGGGCCCCGACCCTGAGATAAAAAAATACAAAATTAATGTAAAAAGTACCATTTTTTGGCGGGGGAGGGGGGCACCCCCTTAAGTCTACGGAGCCCCACTTTTCTAGTTGAGCCACTGGGCCATGTTTCGGTCGTTCTGTTGTTTTTTTTTTCGATTTAGTTCTTAGTATAAACGGGTTAACGATTTGTTGTTTGTGGGAAAGTTTGTTTGACATAAACAGATTGTTATATTTGTTATTAGATTTGGAACTGGGCTGACTCAACTACCATATAAGGACTGGTTGAACCATGTCCACAGGCCCACACCCTGAGATAAAAAAAAATATACAAAATTGAAATACAAAGTACCATTTTGGGGGATGGTCCATAGGGCCCCACTCCTCTAGTTGAGCCACTGGACGTGAGTGACCATGTTTCGGTCGTACTGTTGGTCAAACAGGTTAATCGTTAACGTTTTGTTGTTTTGGGGAAGTTTGGTTTTGAAATAAACAGATGATTATAACTGTTATAAGGTTTGAAAATGGACTGGTCTGATATGATTATATATAATTGTTAAATTTTGTCATTTTGTTTGTGGGAAAGTTTGGTATAGAAACTATATTATAACTAAATATTTAAAGGGACAGATGCGCCATTTTTTTCTTGACCAATCCTATTTTAGTCTCAAAAACGGGAATTTTTTTTTAGCTAAGCCAATCAGTAATAGTTTTCACAACTCATCGTCTCTTTTAAAAGAATGTGTAATGATAAAGATATAATTCAATAATAATGTTCATTGGCAAAAATGACAAAAATGACGCTTCCGGCATAAACTTCTGTCCGCAAACTGTCTGACTTCCTTTTTCAGTAATTTCCAAATTAAGTTTTCAATTGTATATTTTGTCTTAAAATGTGTACAAGAACTATAAGGTTTCGTGATTTACATTTGAAAATAACTCACATTTTGGACTGATAATTAATTTCTTTCTATAAAACCAGATATCCATATATTCTTTTTTTTTCATTTCTGTAAAATTATAACAACCCAGAAACAATCTAAGGCTAACAGTACTATTTTTTCGTGCCCCTACGGCATAGCGACCAACAGTTGCGTAAGGTTGCGATTAATGAAAGTCGTCATGTGTTTCGAACGCAACTTAAAACTCACTTGCATCAGAGCTACTTATATGCGCTATTCTTATTCGCGACTTTACTTGTGAAAATCCGGATCTGCAGCCACAAGTGATTGGTCTCTAATTGCATATTCAACACTTTTTAACAGTAAACATATTCAATGTTTTTATTATAACCAAAAACTATAACTTGGTTTGTTTTTAATTAGGTCATATAAGGGAATCAACAAACTGCCAAACACACCGTACTATATGCTTAGAAGCATTGGGGGAAACGAATACTGAAAATAAACAAATACTTTAGCCAAATTAAATCAACGAGCGGTTGCCTCAAAGGCATTTAATCCGCAGATCCGCAAATTATATTAAAGCAGGACTTAAGTTGCTTTGAAAAGGCAGTAACTGGCAAAGGTTGAAAGATCTCATCATTAAAAATAAGCATTTTACAAGATCGGATCGAATCTAATACCGTTGATTTCGTCAAACGGTTCATCGAACACATCCGACAACAAATCGATATGGTTGTACGTCAAAAAAGTTCCATCAACTTTGGGTGTCATCTGTAGTATCTACCAGGTCAGGCCAGGTCAACGGCAATTACTAAAACAAAGAAAATTCGGGAACATCGATACATCAATATACATCTGCACACTAAGTTTCATCACAATTAAAACTGTCGCCTTTATCGCGTTCACAAGCCAATTATGGTGAATTTCTGAACCTAATCCTAGCCTGCCCAACCTAACCCTACATATCCCTACCCAACCCTAACCAATACCTAACCCTAACCTACTCTACCTTATACCAGCTCAGTCGGTAGCGGATTGTCGTCTGCTAAGCGAATAGGTGCCGTGGGTTCGAATCCTCAAGGTAAGAAATATTCTGATGCTTGTGCCAGTGCTTCCAAACGTCGGCCTGATCTCGGCTTTCACCCCAATACTTACCTTACCTTACCCCCTACATGTATATCCCCACCCTTTGCCTAGCCAAAGGGAAGTAACTCTACTCACTGTTTACAATATTTAATTCCTTAGTAGTTCAATTAATGAGTTGTGGTAAGTATTCAAATTTTTTACTGCATTTTAATGCCGAAATCTGATTACCGATATTACCGAAAATATTTTACTTCTGTCCATAAAATGAAAATACTTAAGCTCATTGCTTCGGAGGTGATCCATTGTTGAAGAATGTGGTGACTCGATAGGTTTGTTAACTGATCCGGTTGTCAAGTATTTTGGGTTTTGTTTTAACCCGATTCCAAATTATAATGGATCTCCCTCGTTTTTTTTCTGCACCTGGTTTTGACATGTTCTTATTAACCCGAGGAAGTAAGCCGGATTATCAATGAAATAAGCGATTATCTAATTGACGATAAGTGATGAGTAGTTGTCGGATTATACAGATTTTTCTGAGTGTCGGGACCACTAATTAGTGTCGTAATTCGGAATACACAGAGTGTCGGAGTACATAGAGTTTTTAAACTAGCCTGAGAAGGAAATAAATCGGGACCAGAAAATGATGTCGGATTACGCTGAATGTCGGAATACTCAAATGTCGAATTTCACAAAGTACACTGTATGTGGTTTGGACACGATGCACCTGATTTTATAGCTGAGCAAAAACTATAGCTCTATTAAATGGTTCTTTTTGACAGGATCAAGAAAATTACAAAGTTATTGAATTCTAAACCAATTATTTATTTTTCAATAATTCACAATAAATTGACAATTCAATATCACAATTACAAATGAGACAATATGAGTTTTATACATAAACTTAATAAACTAAAAACTTCAGCAGTACAATTATATACTAGATATTGTCTGATTTCTAGACAATAATGCTTAGAAAAATTTATAATGTCTACCAATTGGAATGTCTGTCTCTGTTTTGATTAAGCTTTCATTTACATTAAAAGTTTCAAAAATTTTTAATTGTATATCTTCTTTATAGACCAGTTGTTTTAAAACTTTATCTTTCTTTCATTCCTTTCAGAATCTTTGATTGATTACATGAGGCCCTCTCCTAGATTTTACCTGCAATCGTTTTCATGTCGGAGAATATATCCTAACTAAACATAACGACTTAAATCATAATTGACCAAACATTTTATGCCAGACCACAACAATTTTCAAAAATTATTTCCTTAGGGTTAATTCCCTCCAGTTGAAAACCCCTGTTATATTTTAAGAATAGATGAGTTAAAAAAAGTTGGCCAAAGTTTATATTGGTGTTAACATAATTTACCAAGAATAGGCCTACTGAACATTGCCAGAATTTTTCTTCAAAAATTGAAATGTTCTTTCCGAAATGGTAATTTTTCTTTCAAAATATAGTAGATAAAATAGGGAAATTGCTGTTGGTTTTTATAAATGTATTTTCAAAAATAAGTGATTTATATTAAAATACTTCTTCCAAAAGCAGTAAATATATTTCAAATCAAAATCAATATCAATACTTAAAATATTACAATATATCTGTATGTTTGACCTGCTGACATTGTTCTGAAGATAAAATGCAAGTTCATGTAATTTTATTGTGAAAATTGAATATTTCTAATAGATAAAGTAACATTAAAGAACGTAGAGACAGTTTTCCTTAACCCAAACCAATTATAACATTACCAAACTTTTTACTGTAATTATACATAACTTTTACTGTTGGGAGCTTGCGTAATTTATCATAGTTTATCGTCCATTTCCAGGGAAGATCATTGATCCTGGTCCTTGTTGATTTTGAGCTTGACCTAATACTGGTTGTTGAGCTCCCATATTTCCTCCCATAGGTCCCATTGATCCCATAGGTCCCATAGATCCCATTGATCCCATGGGTCCCATTGATCCCATTGGTGAGAAGTTGTTCATATCAGTCATCATGTTTCCTTGTCCCATACCACCCATACCAGCTCCTGAAAGATAATAGGAGATCCATTATGCATTGATAACAGTTAATCTTGTATAGCTAGTTTCGAATATATATTTCTCTCTCGGACATCTGAACAACCTAATAATGTTCTAAAGGTGCATCTTATCCACATTATCCGTATTAAAGTGATATCGGTAGTGGCGGCTCTAGCTTCTCGAGACTAGGGTACATTTATGGGGCAGACTGGGTGAAAACTGTTGAGGCTGAATATACCCGCTGGCGCTACCCGGTGTCCATAGAGAGTAGGTAAAGAATTACTCGCTATGTGCAGTGTATATAAGGGGTGTTTTTGTTCTCACGAACTTACAGCTTATTGTTCCCATAGTGGCATCAGGAGAAGCCTTATCATAGTATTAAATGATTGTCTCACCTTGCATCAAACCGTTTCCTCGTCTGATAGAATCTGCTGGCATATTATCTCTACTGATGGTACAGCAGAGTGGAATAGTGTTCATACATTGGTTGCCTATGATTCCGTTGGCAGCACACAAAGCAATTCCGGAGCCTGGAAGGTTGTTAACTGGTAAGGTGGTGATGGTGTCTTTGATGGAGACAGTATTCTGGGCGAAGATGTCGAATCTATCACCAATGATTCCAACGACTCGGTTTCCACTTCCGGTACCTCTCCAGAAATTGAGACCCATCAATGGAGCTGGTGTCTGACTTTGGCTGGTCATGATTGGTCCAAGGCTGTTGGCATCACAGTAACCTTCAATATGTCCAAATTCAGTTACAACGAGTTGGAAGGTTCCTTGCAACTGTGAATTCATACCAGCAGAAATCTTGGCGCTCATCTCGAGTTGGTTGCGGTTGAATCTATTTGGTGTTTTCTCGAAGGTAATTCTCAAAGAATCATCAGAGGCAGTTGATCCAATACAAGTTAACAATTCTCTTTGATTTCCTGCCATCATAGCTGATCCTGAAAGACCCATAGCTGGTGTACGCACTCCCTGGTTTCCTCCCATGAAATTGTTACCAAATGGTAGTCTTCCAAAATTCATTCCAAATTGGGCATATGTTTGACTGCAAATGGCGGCTAAAGCCAAAACTACTACGTTGAAGAAACCCATTGCTATTACTGTAGATGTGGCTTGTTACTCAGTGAAGATGCAAGTGAATATTGAAAGAAAATTGTGGTTTATAAGACCTTTTGAAATTCTTAATTACTCACGATTTCTCATTAGGGGCTATGTAAGATTAATGAGATAAATCACGTGACTTCCTGTTCACTAATGGCTGGTTATCACATTTCTGCACCTTAAAAGCCGTAATCAAACGATATGTTCGTAATCATATTTAATTAGTGTCAATGATTATGTAAATCATATGCATATTAGCTGAATGACGACTGTCCAGAAATTTCAATTGAGTACTCTAATTGGATTTCTTCAAAAAATATAACATGAAACACTATAGAATGAAAAATGGATGGCAAATTTCCTAGGTGCTAAAACGTGTGATCATCTATTGAACACTTTGTTCTGATAAAGAGCATTGTGAAACGAACATATTTTCATGTGATTTCCGCATTTGTCAATATTTCGTTTTGGCAACAAAAACATGTACAAAATGCTATATTCCTTTTTAGTTTTCTGGTAATCAGGTTGTTATAGGGTTGATAGACTGACTTGAGTTTTTAGGTTAATTTAAATAAATATTTAATAAAAACATATAATTACTGCCTTTAATTAAACAGAACCCATATCGGGTCTATACATGAGGGTGTGAGGATGACAGACTCCTCTTTAAAGATATATATTTCGCCCCACCGAAATAAAAAAAAAAACCGGTCTGTTTGAATTGTTCCAAAGTGATAATAGCTAAGTCGTAAAAATAGCACACCAAATGACCCTGCGGGTGAAGTCAGCGATTTTAGTTTACGTGTCATCTAACAAGTAATTCTGCAAATGGGTCTGTGAGCGGAGGACCCGGGATGACGTGTTGTATTCTGGCTATTGCTGGGCATTATTCTTTACGTTGGACTAGAAAAAGGAACACCAAATATTCGAATGTTGTGCTAAAGAGTTTATACGAGCATACCAGGACAAACCCCTGAGTTCTGGTAACACTTGAGTACAAAATACCAGATAGTATTGGCCGTTTTTGTCAGTAGGTTTGCCATACATCGTTTACAACTAGGTGTGATGAAATAAATTTTTGATTTGTTGCTTATTATTATTCTTCAGTGGCTCAACTAGTTGAGTGGGGCTCCGTGGAATTAAATGGGTTGGGGCCACTCCCCACATTGCTCTCCTACATATTTTCTGCGGGTGGGGAAACCTGGCGGGTGGGGGTCCATGGACTTGGCTCGACCATATCCTATAGTAGTTGAGATTCTTTTATTCTTGTGAAATTAACAATTGTTAATCTTAAAATTTTATAGTGTGAAATTTAAATGAAATGAATGGAGTTTTACGTCCTACTGTTTAGCACTTGGTGGGCTCATGAAGACAGACAACGCCATGCAGCGAACAATGAGAGAATTTTTGTCAGGTAATCTGCATTTACCTTTTCTTTTTCGATTTCCATCTGTCGAGGGACTTTAATGTGCACACTGGGCCTCGGTTAATTGTCCCATCCAAACGACGAAACGGTTTGTCCCATTTCAGCCCTTAATGACAAGGGGAAACCTTTTTGAAAAATCTTAAGGTATTATCTCGACCTATGCCGGGATTAAGGCCCGGACTTAGTCTTAATAAACGGTAAGCATCTAATTCACTTAGCAATCGCAACTCCTGAGAACCTCCTTAAAGGATTTCTGCAACCGCCTGGGCGTGTACCCTACTTGAAGCTGAAGAACACTAATTCGATTTTGGATGTGAAAGTAGATTAAATTTTTCATTGCTTATAGGGGAAGAAGGGGGGCATGGCCCAAAAATTACAATGCGCCCGAAAGTAAATTTTATTTAGAACTGATGCAATATTTCAAAGACATCGACAGGTTGTTGTTATAATAGTTTAAAACAATGTTGCCGACAAACTTAAAGGGTTAATATTAAGTTACTCGGCCACACTTGCTCAGTCGGTAGTCGGATTGCCGACTATGCTATATGTGATTAGTTGCCGTTCGATCGGATTAGAAAAATTGTGAAGTTTTCGAAAGAAATCCCTGTGTTAGCTTTCTAACCCCTCGAAATTTTCCTCGCGGTGCTGTTATTCTTCGATAGGACAATCTGAGCAAAAGGGTAGGTTTTAGTATACAAATACCATTTCTGTATATATTTATGTGGCTTGAACAGAGTTTTCTAAATTCTTGCAATCACACAAATGTAACTGCTCCGGGTTGACAACGATATTAATTTATCAAAGGTTAATAACGATGCCATTTATGTAGGTTAAATAACCAGTGCATGTGACTCACATAAAGTTAGCAGTAAAGGGCATTAAGTTGTTTAAAAGTCGACGAAACCCCTCGCAAAAGATAGAAAGAAATCTATATAGGGTGCCAAAATTCGTTCAAAAATCTATATTTTGACGCACGTGCTCTAGTTATCACGTGCACGTACACGTGCTGAAAGGGACGTTGCCTAGCAACCGATGTGATAAAAAAAATTAAATCCGATGTAGAGTTCAATATATTTTTTTTATTTTTCAGAGATGATACATGTACACAATATTCACAATTCAATATCACAATTTAGTTCCATATTCAGTAAAATATACATAAATTAAAACATAACTAAGAATTTCAAAATTACTACTAAAAAATACATTGTCTGATTTCACATAATGCTTTAAAAAATATATATTGTTGACCCATTCGAGGAATAACTGCCCCCCTTTTGATTAAATTTTCATTCCCATTAAATTTCAAAAATCTTCTATTTCTCAAATACCAAAAAAATAAACATTTCATGAATAAACGTTTTAGATAAAGTAGGCGAAAGTTAACCTATATGTTGACATAATTTCCCAAATGATGCAACTGCTCTTTACGAAAGGTTAAGTTTTCTTTAAAAATATTAGTTTTCTGATCAATGTGGTAAATAATAAAAATATTGATGAAAATTTCGAGAAAATGATGTTACAAAAAATAATCTCGTTTGCGAATATCTATTGAAATGGTAAATTATCCTTTACTAATAGCAAATTTCGTTGTCAAAACAATTAAATTTTACTATTTCAATATAATAAAGTTGGATTAAAAAATATATTTTTTTTCTGTTGTAAATAGTAATCATGTACATTTTATTTTATTTCAAAAATAGTAAATTTGGATTCGGAATTTGTTTTTCTATAATACAAAAAGTCAGCAAGTGAATTTATTTCATTTCATTTTTTTTTAATTTGGATACAAAAAATATTGTCTATATAGTAAACAAGTCTTATGTCATTTTAGTTCAAGGTAGTCAACGAACTTTTATTTTTCATTTCAACTATAGTAAATTTGTTTTTAAAACAATGATATTTTTTATCCTGTTAACGAATGGATTCTATTTCATTTCAAGCATAAAGTGAATCTGGATTCAAAATTTTTTTTAAAAAAACAAAAGAGTAGCTAATTTAATTTCCTTTCAGTTTGACGTTTGATTTAAAATATTGTCAAATTTTCTACCGCAAAATAGTGAACAATATTTTTTTTAGTTTGAAATATTTAATTCCTTTAAAAAGAATATTTGATTCTTGCAGTTTTAAAAAAAAGTAAATTTTCTCTCTTAAATAGTTCTTATAAAAATAGATTGATTTTTTCATAAAAAGTTCCTTTGTGTTTAATCAATTTAGGAACAATTAATGTTGTTTCAAAAATAATCGTTTTATAGTTCTTATAAGAGCAGTAAATTTTGTTGACAAAGATTCTTGTAAACAGTCTTTAAAGTAATGTCATTCCATGCGCGAAAGTATAAAGTATTTTGAAGCTCTAAGAAACTGTATATACAGTACAAATATAAATCACAAAATAGTAGACGAAATCCCCAATATATTTGTATACTTGACTCTCTGACTGACAAAAGTATGAAAACAAAATGCATTTTTGTCGTCTATAGTTTGAAACATTCGTTTTTATTGTTGTGAGCTTGCATCTTCATGACTATCTTCATAGTTTATCGTCCATTACCAGGGAAGATCATTGATCCTGGTCCTTGTTGAGCTTGAGCTTGACCTCCTAATACTGGTTGTTGAGCTCCCATATTTCCTCCCATAGGTCCGATTGATCCCATAGATCCCATAGATCCCATTGGTCCCATAGATCCCATAGATCCCATAGCTCCCATAGATCCCATTGGTGAGAAGTTGTTTCCTTGTCCCATACCACCCATACCAGCTCCTGAAAGATTATAATATATCAATTATACATTGATACGGCTCAAAAGTACTCATTTTAGGCGAATTTAACCTTTGTGATGTCCTTGGAGGAATGCATCTTAATGTATTAAATGGGTGTCTTACCTTGCATCAAACCACTTCCTTGTCTGATAGAATCAGCTGGCATGTTATCTTTAGTGATGGTACAGCAGAGTGGAATAGTGTTCATACATTGGTTGCCTAAGATTTCATTGGCAGCACACAAAGCAATTCCGGAGCCTGGAAGGTTGTTAACTGGTAAAGTGGTGATGGTGTCTTTAATAGAGACAGTGTTTTGGGCAAAGATGTCGAATCTATCACCAATGATTCCAACGACTCGGTTTCCACTTCCGGTACCTCTCCAGAAATTGAGAGCCATTAATGGGGCTGGTGTCTGACTTTGGCTGTTCATGATTGGTCCAAGGCTGTTGGCATCACAGTAACCTTCAATATGTCCAAATTCAGTTACGACGAGTTGGAAGGTTCCTTGCATCTGTGAATTCATACCAGCAGAAATCTTGGCGCTCATCTCGAGTTGGTTGCGGTTGAATCTATTTGGTGTTTTTTCGAAGGTTACCCTCAAAGAATCCTCAGATGCAGTTGATCCAATACAAGTTAATAATTCTCTTCCTGGATTACCACCCATCATAGATGATCCCAAAAGTCCCATAGCTGGTGTTCGTCCTCCTTGGCTTCCTCCTAAGAAATTGGTTCCAAACGGTAGTCTACCTAAATTCATCCCAAATTGGGCGTTTGTCTGACTAAAAATGGCGGTCAAGGCTAAAACTACTACGTTGAAGAAACCCATTGCTATTACTGTAGATGTGGCTTGTTACTCAGTGAAGATGCAAGTGACTTATTGTGAGAAATTTGTGGATTTATACTATTTGAAATTCTTAATTACTTACATCTTCTCATTAAAGATTAATGAGGTAAGTCATGTGACTTCCTGTTCTGTAATGGCGGGTTACCACATTTCTGCATCTTGTTCGTCATTATATTTAATTAGTGTTGATGATTATGTAAATAAAATGCATATTATTTAAGTTATTAATAAAAACGGATCATTACTGTCGTCAATAATACAGATACCTGATTAGTTGGTGATTAATCGTCATTATAAGATTATGGTGTTAAATATAAGCGCTTCAGGCCATTGTTTTCTGTATCATATGAGATTTTCTGTATGATAAATGTATGCTATGCGATATCGTATAATGTACCGGTAATCATATTTGGCACATTGGCTCATCTTTTTTATAAACCAGTTGAGACATTTAAGTTCAGAACATGGTCGCATACTGGGCTCTATATTATTTTAGACCCACCGAGAAAACCAATGAAGATCCTCCTTTTTCTAAGTTTAGAAATCACGGACGTGGATCTGCAAATTTTAGAAACAATCTCATATATAAAGGTAAATTCAAATTTACTACAAATTTATCTAATGCTGTCCACCGGGCTACGCTACTAAGGTACAATTTTAATGAATGAGAATAGAGTTTTACATCCCAACTTTGTAATTCTGATTGAGACAAAAAATCCTTACGATAGAATCTTTCAAATGAATCGTATCTGTACCACAAAATCAATTTAAAATTGATTTATGGTCAATAATTTCGAACTCGAGTTGTGACAACATTGTCATAGTGTACCATTTCAACTCATTGTAACTAAATGGCATACGTCTATAGTTAAAAATCAAAGATCGAAATTCATGAAAATCATTAAAGTGTCATCAGAAAAGTCGAAGCCGACCCATGATTTTTGAGTAAAGGTTTTCAAATTATTGCGCTCAAAGTAGAAAATATGTCAAACATGAACTTTTAATCGATATAGTCTAAAGTTTTTTTTGTCTGATTTTGACGACAAATTGTATGTTAATTGATGGGCTCCGGATAAATTTGATTTTTGATAGGTTGTTTTTTGAAACTTGGTAAACTTATTGACCAATGTAGTCCGTGCTATTTTTATAAATCCTCTTTCGCCCTCCCTTTCGCGGTTTTTGCATGCCTATTTTTTACTGAGTTTTGGTCTACATTTGGCATTTTCTTTCAGATTTTGTGAGATGAGAGATTTTCATTCGGAAGATAATTAAAAAATAGTCGTCTTGAGTGCAATAACAGTCAAGCGGATGTTGATAAAATGTGGTAATCTACTTTCAGTTTAATTGGCTCAAGATTTTTTATAGTCATGATGTATTGAATTTTTGTCCAGAAACTAAGCATTGGCCAGTCTTTCATGTGACATATTGGAAAGTTTCAACGAAATATCTGGAAAAAGTTATAGAAGATTGAATTTCGAGATTTAACATGGGAACAGATTGCAAATGAAATACCGGGGTGGGTACTTTTATTTATCTTGATGAAACCCGCAGCGATTTTTTGGTTATTGTCCCAGCCAAAATTGATGATAAAAATAAAAAACAATAGATTATATTGGATATATGCGACACTATGTTATCTCCTTTTTGTTTAGTATGCGCTTGCCTGAATACAACAACAATGTCGTGTGAATGCGATAGAAAGATCTGAATCGGATTTGGAGAAGTATGCTAATGAAATGTGATTTGATCGTGATAATCCTGATTTTTATTATGGAATTTCTTTTTATTGTCATAACCAAATTTTCCATTTTAATGCATATTGGTCAGTTTAAATGGTCAAGAGACAACAAAAGATCAAATCATCCATGAAATATGCTGCTGAAACGAGTCATTTTGGCTACCGTTCTTAAGGAACCTTTCAGTACATTTACCAAGATTTTTTCCAATTGAAATTTCTAGCTAATTGTCCTTTAATGTTTGAGTGCGGTGATAAGTTTAATGCCGTCCGCTTCAAGTCAATGAACCTATTGATTGTAAAAAAACCGTTCTAATAAATCACATAACCTTTGTTTTTATTTAGATGATCAATTGTTTAAGGCCCCTTCAAGCTAATATACTGGTGTTATCTCCCTTGACGTGCACTGCCCTGAAAAGGTGAAAGACAGTATCTGCAAAAATGGCGTTTTGAGAAAATCGAGGTTAAAGTTTGAGATCTTCCCACTTCCAAATACAATACTGAAACAAGATGATTTTATGGAAATTAATCTTCATATTTTTCTGTAGATTCATTGATAAGATCTTCACAGTTTTTATCAATGTCAATACTGGTCCAAAAAATACGTCGATTTGTAGGCATCATGGGGCACAACTTTTCAACAATATCAGTTTTCTTCTCAAGGGGTATTCCTCTGTTCTTCTGGCGCAGTCTCTTAGGAAACACCAACATTGCTCCTTTTTTGTGAAGTCCAATTCAATGAACTCGGGATCATCATGGTTCAATTTGTAGGACAAAGTTTTCGACCCACGCTTCACTTTTATTTCAACCATTTGGGCCAACTTAATTCCAGATTTCTTCATCTTGGCTGCAGAATGGATAGGACTCCAATCACGAAAATCAATATTTGACATCTGTAAACCTTCTACATTAGAACACCTTGATACAACATCTACAAAATCTGGAAAATCTAATACTTTGCCACCTTGTTGACGATTCATTTGCTGCTCTACCTGGTGATGGACAGAGTCAGCAGACATAAATGTATGTCCTGTTACAAAATACTTCAATGTTACGTCTTGAGCTAAAACATCATTATTGTTAACCAAAGTTAATAAGGCAGAAATGAGGTACCAATTCTTGTTTTGAGCAACACAGTTGTCCAGCCACAGTACAATATGCTCTGCATCTCGCATCTCCTTCAAAGCTTTCACAAAAGCGGAGGCAATTTCTTTGCCCTGCCTACCACCTATTCCCTCGTGCCATAAAACAGCCAAAGATCTCTCTCTAATGTGTGATGGTTTCTTTGATTGCTTACCAACTGCAGCGAACGTTTCATTAAAAGCAATGATGCGTTTCGTAAAAATTGCGGTTTTGTTACCTGGCATACGAGGTAGCATAATAACCTTTTGAAGATCAACACTTCTTATCAATATGTTTGCATCTGCATTAGATGCATCAGTTTGATAGTGTACTCTAGCTGATGCAGCTGCCTCGTTATGTCTCTTCCAGGTACTGCATCTGTCACTTGTAACGCCATCAGTAAGATCAGCGTGGTCTGATTTGACATGTAGCTCATGTTGGAGACATACCTCACATTCTTCTTCACCCAATTTAGTGAAACTGATCTTCATATCTTGGATAACCTGTCTATATGTATCATAGCTGCATTTTTGAACAGCAGTTGATTTAAAATCATCATACATCATACGAATTGAAACATCACTCGGTAGATATCTTCTGTTTGGGGCGTGAGCCCTCCTATAATGACTGATACAGGGATTGAACGACTCAATATGGGCCTTTATTGGTTCTCTGTTAATCTTATTGGGTGGCTCTTGCATCCCACGTTTGTCTGGTGGGGGTGAAATATCTGAAGGCCTGGTGAGCTTCATGACTGTGTTAATCATTTTATCAATTTTGGATGATAACCTAATGTACAAAGGAAGAAAACCTTGCAAACAACTTGAGCTGTTCCATGTTCATCCTTTAGAAAATATTCATAGCTGAGTTTTCTTCTACTTGGAGCTTGAGTCGTCTGTCGACTCTTCTCGTTTCTATGTACATTATTGAACAAATACTGTCTTCTCCCATTGTAATTAAGTTTCCAATATGCTTCCCAAATTTCTTTCCTACGTTTTTCATCAATTTTATCTAAACAATTTCTTTTGCAATTTTTACAGGGTTCTCTTATTGGATGGTCGCTTTCAAGGTTCGGTTTGTGTTAGGTTGTTTTATTCTGTCATCTAATCGCCCACCTGTCGTGGTTTCGTCTTTGTCAGGTTCATAATCCGGATCTTCATTAACATCGTCAGCATTAGAATTTTGAAATTCTTCATTATCATCTACACCATAATCATGGTCTCTATGTGTACCAGTATCTATTATCACCTCTTCCAAAAGATCATCTGGAGATCCTAGAAAGATTCTTGTTGGTGTTGTTGGTGCCACCATGTCTGCATAAAGATTCTGAATTATTCTTGAAGGCTCATTGTTGTGTTCAATTCTGGTCCATTTCAGGTTCTGCCTCATCATTTTTTAATTGGGCACCTTCTTTAGAATCAGATAAGTTGTTTTTAAGCGATAAATTCAAAATTTGTTTTCCTCTAGATAAGCTATCCATGTTGTTTTTATCCACCTTGTGCAGCAGTATCTCACAACCTCTATATGAAATTGGAACTAGTTTGGAAGAGAAAGGCAGTAACTTACTAAGAAAGGGAGGGAGAGGACAGTATCTACCATTTACTGCTTTTTAACTTTGTAACTCTGCATAAAATATAGATACTGTTGAATTTTACAGCCAATAACTCTTCTTATTCTTCATATATACCTGTAAATTTTGTTTTATATCATAGAATAGTATCTGCTGGTCATAATGTTACCCATAACTCATTTTCGTCAAAATTGCAGATACTGTCTTTTACCTTTTTAGGGCAGTGCAGATAGCTTAGCATACGTTTACTAGCTTTCATTTTTCATTGGAGCTTATTGTGAAAGAAAAATCTATACTCGAATTCATGCTTCTTAATGATTTCTGTCAGCTTTCAGCTCGAAAAAACAAAGGCTTGAGAAAAGGGAAGTAGTTCTTGGAAACGTCTCATATGACTGGATATATGCTTGACATTTATTTCATCAGTATCGACCCAAATCAACCCTGGAAAATGGCGAACCTATCCCTTTAAATTGATTTCAGCTTCATCAGTCATGCAACTTTCCTTATTTATCTATATTCAACTTTTTATAAAATCAATTTCAAATCAATGATAGATTTAAAGAGTGATATATCTGTACATTAATTAAACATTTTATAATCAATCTTTTGAATTTTTTTATACGGCTCTGTTTACATATATGCTTATATTATTGAATAACCTGTCTATAAATCACGTGTCCGCCTGGCAGTCTGAAAATAGTGCGGTAAACATGACAATTTTTGAATACCGGTTATAGATAGTATAATACTGGAGCAGAGTTCACACCAAATTTTAGTTGTTGCTAATTAAGTTAAATTTTGATTCTCATTTCTTAAAAATTGAATTTAAAAAGTTCCAGTAGTAAACCTTCAAATATACAATTTGATTTAATTCGCAGATCGTCGTGATAAATATTAATTTTGACTAAACATAGGTCAGGTCTAACCACATGAGACTATGACGGTGACTAAATTGAGGACATCTGTTGAGTTTGTGATTAAAATGCAGTAGCTCTGCGTCATAAGTGTAGGCGTCTCGTGGAGCGTCTGAGAGGATTCCCCAAAGAATTTAAAAATAGAATGTATTTGGTGCATTCTGACACGTATTTTGGGGCAAAAAGGTATAAAAAATGATATCTTGATATACTAGAAATGAAGTGTAAATGAAGGTACAAATCATTATTCTAGGTGGACACTGAAAACGAATAAGTATATATAAATAAAAGTGACAAAGAAGATTATTAACAAAAACTATCAAGTGAATTAAGATATAGTGACATGGCCGTTACTAGTTAGGTTCGTGGGCAGTGTCAGTTAGAAAAACTGTAAAATATTTCACTAAAATAAAATATCACCATGGAAATGCGATAATTAATGTTTTATCGCACTTCAAATTCTTTTAGTGTATTGTTTAACCAGACTACAGTTGTCAATTGGACGTGAATAATGGGTCACATTTTTCACTTTTTTTGTCTGGTGGTGGAGGCTGATTATGGTGGTGAAATTGTTTTGACGTTCAATGGTACAACACCTTGTTATTCCATGCATTTTTTAGAATATTAAACTAAATTAAAGATCTTCTTATGCCTTGATATAAATATGAATAATACCGATATAAGATATATCATGAATACAACTTTTAGTCTTTCGGCAATCCTCGGCAGTTTCCGTAAAGCTGAATCTGTCTAAATGGTAGATTTCGTTGTGTCTTTTTGGGCAGGACCCTTTACTTTATTTCTCAATTATTTGTCAACTGGTAGTAATATTGCGACCTTGAAATATTCCCTAGACTAAAGGAAATAATTTTGAATAACTTAATATCGAACACCGTTTTTCTTTTTATTGGCATTGTAGTCCTGAACGATCAGCCTAGGATGTTTGAAATGCTAGAATCACGTGATTACGTGGCCATATGAACCTCCTGGTTCCGGTTCATACCATCATATGTCGCAAAGCCTTAGCAGACCCTTAAAGGTAGACCGTTTGCCTGCAAGCCACGGCTTTATTGCACTCCTAGTAACAAGAAACATCATAACAGTATAGCACTATTGATGACAAGTGATAATATTGACCAGATTTCTAATCAGATAAGAAATCGCCAGTCACTATTCTAACTGAAAGAGCATATTATCCAGCATTTAGACCAAAACTTCAACTATAAATAAAGCTTAATTGATAACTCATGTAAAGCTAATATTTCCAATAATCAAGAAATTAGGATTTTGATTAAATATTGTTAACAGGTACGTCATAAACTTATTCATTGGCAGTGTCGAGTCTTCTTTACATGTTTTGGCAAATAGTCTTCAGACGACTGCACGAAAATCGCATAATACCTCAGAATAGAAATTTCACTTTCATTTTCTCTATATGTTTCTTCTAAACGTGACGGAGTCTCAAGGAAAGACGAGTCGTCATTTTTAACTTTCAGACGAGGATAATACACAGAGATTTCAAGATTCAAATTTCGGCGGTCAGTTGCGAACACTATGACTGATCATCTAATCTAAAACAATTCCCGTTTTAGAGACTAACGTACGCTTGGACAACGGATGGTGAATATGTCCCTTTAAATCGACGTTTACATTAAAATTTCCGCCTGATTGATTATCGATTGGACATTGATTAGTTTTATAAACAAAATATTTTTTTCAATAACTAGTTTTTTTCAATACTGATTTTATTGGTTGTATGATTTAACAGAAAATCTCCTTCGTTTTGTCGTTTTCAAACAATATACTATTTAAAAAGAAGTTTCGATCGGACCCGAAACGCCCTATTATATAAATGGTATGTTCTCATATGTTTTTTTTTCATACGGAACTTATGTGTTTACAGGAGTGGAATTACAGGAACATCAAATATATATCTTATAACTAGCTTGTGCTCTGAAATCAATTAAACAAACTCATACCTGAATGCTAATCAAAGACAGAGGTATTTATTTCAAATGAGAGATTCTTCAGTAATGAAACATATATAAGACAGAGTTAACGTGAATCTCACTAACTTAAAGGTGTTCAGTATATTATTATAAAAAATGGATCTAAAGAAGATTTTAATTATCGTAATTTTCTACGGTAGGTTTCTATATTGGAGGATAATTCCTGCTATGTGATTATGTTCAGCTAACCCAATCTCAAGCATGTACAATTAATTTTGTGCAGCATACAGTGGGGATATGGGGGCAGTGTTGAATTGTAGGAAAGCCTCACGGGTAGCTCTAGCACAAAGTGAAGCAAATATACAGCATAATTTAAGATTTAATTTTTGTAAGACATATATGAGTAGGAAGATTACATTAAAACACATTATTTACATACTATGTTTCGAAACACATGGTTATCAAGTGAAATGAAGGTAACGTTATCAAGTAAAGTCATACCTTATCAAGTAAAATGATGATTTCACTTGATAATACATGCAGGTAACGTTATCAAGTAAACTGATGATTTTACTTGATGACGTTAAATGTTTCCAAACGTAGTTTGTAAATATAAAAAAACAATGCGGAAGTAGTACATCCATAATTTAGTCTTAAAGTTTTAACTTTTGATTTACTTGTTTATTATGTATATATCAACCATTTTTACTTTCAATATACTTATTTTATATCTTATTTCTTATTTGTTTATTTTCATTAATCCATTTATTACTTTCAATAAACCTATCCATTCATTTCGCTGCCTTTAAATTTATTTTTCTATTTTGTTTTTATTTATTTGATAACCTGAATAGACCTATCTATTCATTAGTTTATTTTCAATATATCTTTTTTCAATATACCTATCTATTTATTAGTTTATTTTCAATATATATATCTATCTATATAATTATGTATTCTTAATATACCTACATGTATCTATTTATTAGTTTATTTTCAATATATCTATCTATATATTTATTCTTAATATACCTTCATGTATCTATTTATTAGTTTATTTTCAATATATATATCTGTCTATATAATTATGTATTCTTAATATACCTACATGTATCTATTTATTAGTTTATTTTCAATATATCTATCTATCTATCTATCTATATAATTATGTATTCTTAATATACCTACATGTATCTATTTATTAGTTTATTTTTAATATATCTATCTATATATTTATTCTTAATATACCTTCATGTATCTATTTATTAGTTTATTTTCAATATATCTATCTATCTATATAATTATGTATTCTTAATATACCTACATGTATCTATTCATTAGTTTATTTTTAATATATCTATCTATATATTTATTCTTAATATACCTTCATGTATCTATTTATTAGTTTATTTTTAATATATCTATCTATATATTTATTCTTAATATACCTTCATGTATCTATTTATTAGTTTATTTTCAATATATCTATCTATATATTTATTCTTAATATACCTTCATTTATCTATTTATTAGTTTATTTTCAATATTACTTAATATACCTTCATGTATCTTTTTATTAGTTTATTTTCAATATATCTATCTAGCTTTATGATTATGTATTCTTAATATACCTACATGTATCTATTTATTAGTTTATTTTCAATATATCTATCTATATATTTATTCTTAATATACCTTCATTTATCTATTTATTAGTTTATTTTCAATATATCTATCAATATATTTATTCTTAATTTACCTTCATGTATCTATTTATTACTTTGTTTTCAATATATCTTTTTTTTTCAATATACCTATCTGTTTATTAGTTTATTTTTAACATATCTTTTTTTTTCAATATATCTATCTATCTATATATGTATGCTTAATATACCTATATGTATCTATTTATTAGTTTATTTTCAATCTATCTTTTTATTTATTTATATTCCTAATATACCTATCTATTTATTAGTTTATTTTTGATATACCTATCTATTTATTAGTTAATTTTTCAATATATCTATTATTCTTAATATACCTACATGTATGTATTTATTAGTTTATTTTCGGTATATCTTTTTTTCAATATACCTATCTGTTTATTAGTTTATTTTCAATATATCTTTTTTTTCAATATATCTATCTATTTATATATGTATTCTTAATATACCTCTACCTATCTATTTAGTAGTTTATTTTCAATATATCTATCTATCTCTATATTTATTCTTAATATACCTTCATGTATCTATTTATTAGTTTATTTTCAATATATCTATCTATCTATATAATTATGTATTCTTAATATAAATTCATGTATCTATTTATTAGTTTATTTTTAATATATCTATCTGTATATTTATTCTTAATATACCTTCATGTATCTATTTATTAGTTTATTTTCAATATATCTTTTTATCTATTTGTACCTAATATACCTATCTATTTATTAGTTTATTTTTGATATACCTATCTATTTATTAGTTATTTTTTTATAATATACCTATCCATGTATTTTTACATCCTCAATACACCAATATGGATCAATTTATGTGTTTATTTTTACCTATATATGTATTTGCCTGTTTTGTTATAACTATCTATTTATTTGTCTAGTTTGATATACCTATTTATTTATTTGCTTATATTTGATATACCTATCCATTTTTTTAATCCTCAATACTCCCATATCCATCAACTTATGTGTTTATTTTCAATATACCTATCTATTTATTTGTTTATTCTCAATGTATCTATTTAGTAATTTATTTATTTTTATAAATTGTAGTTTATATTGATATACCTATCATATCTTTTAAAACATTTTTTCTATTTTGATATTCTTGACAATTTTTGTTTACTTTCGATTAGCTAATCCAATTTTGTTTATTTATCGTACAATATTATACATTTCTAATATCATTTTGAATATGCCTGTCTATTTATTGGTTTTAATGGACCGTTTCGACATTATTTTGACCAATTTCTTAAGCTTATCAAAGATAATGTTCGCAGCTCACCGTCGAAATTAGAGTATTCAATTCTATGTGTGTATTGAATTATCTGCGTTTGAAAGTTAAATTGACAGCTCATCTTGTCTTGCCATGCCGTCATATATTATATATCAAAGACAGGTGGAAAGAGAAAATGTATATTTGAAAGGAGCATGTCATTTTCGTGTGGTTCTGGTAGTTCTGAAGACTATTCACATATATTTAAGACCATGGTGAATCATAGACTTTCATCTTTTTTTATATTTACCTATGCCCTAATTTGTTTATTTGTAATATATCATATTTTGACTCATTCTTTTGTTTTCTTTTTTCAAAGTAAGTGTAAATGGCCAGGATAGTGCAGCACCTCCACAAACAAATGATAGAGATGGTGCATCTTCATCAACTAATACAGAAGGAGGTAGCGATTCAGCACTTCCATCGACAAATGATAGAGAAGGTGCATCTTCATCAACTAATACAGAAGGTGGTAGCGATGCAGCACCTCCACTGACAAATGATAGAGATGGTGCATCTTCATCAACTAATACAGAAGGAGGTAGCGATTCAGCATCTCCACAGACAAATGATAGAGATGGTGCATCTCCATCAACTAATACAGAAGGTGGTATCGATTCAGCATCTCCACAGACAAATGATAGAGATGGTGCATCTCCATCAACTAATACAGAAGGTGATATAGATTCCGGTAATAAACCGACAGATGATAGCGATGGTGAATCTTCACAAACTAATCAAGAAGTTGATAGCGATGCCGCAAATAAACCAACAGATGATAGCGATGATGAACCGAGCTCAAATATATCAGTCAAATTCACCGAATTCGGGATTTACAAGAGAAATGTGAAGTTTTCTGTGTCTCCTTTAAAGTCATATGATTACGAGGATGTAGTTCAATGTGCGCTGTCGTGCGTGTCAATGTCCACTTGTAATTACTTTAGTTATCTGAGTAAGAATTGCGGTTTGTTCAAAGCAGGAGATTCGGATACATCAGATACGACCGGATCTCTTATATATAAAAAGGAGTGACAGTGTTTCTGAAGATTATTGTCCACTACTATAAATATGATTCGATAGTTCAGTAATGCCAATATTATAATTATATCTAAAACAATTATCATTACAAAATATCCATTTTTTAAAATATAACATTAATAAAGGCTAAAACAGTTTAATATTTGTTTTCATCCATTTTACCCGTAGTAAACTTTAACTGACTACCTCGACAAAAATATTTTAATTCTATGATTGCAGGCAGTACTTTTTATTATATACTTCATAAACAATTTGAGTGCTATCGATGAACTCCTAAAAAAAGAACTAAGTTGACAAACTCGGATGCAGAGGGCAAAATGTTATTGAAAGTGATCACAAGCTACCTCCCAGCACCTTTGTAAGTACTTTGTAGCTCATGGAATAGCGAAGTATTTCAAATTTCTTTCATTGTAAATCCTTCATTCGCTTAATCTGGAGCAATAAAGTAGGGCGAACTAATTAATTTCTTTTCATTTTATTATTAAGTTCTAGGACCTTCATTCTGTCAGCAATTGAATTAATCTGACAGAGTCATTCTTTATACTTATTCTCAGACGCATATATGAGCACTGCTCTATATTGATAATAATGATTTTTGTAGATTTCCTGCCATCAAAATGTTTAAGTTCAGTCTTTTTATCAAATATATTGGATAACGAAATGTCATATCATTAGTTTGTATGAAATAAATCTATCAAAAATAGACATTGCCATACCATTCCGACTTAGATTGATAAAAGTAATAGTCTTTATACCATAGAAACACTACACTCTTAATTGACATCTCTGTGGTTTCTCTGCGTCAATTCCGACAAAACAGCGCAGTAATAAATGTCACTTTGAACGTGTACCATGACGATTTTTATATTATTTGGCTAAAACCTCACGTCTCCATCATGTTCCCCGCTGAAATTTTCGTATATTATTTTTCTGGCCTACATAAATAGAATCCGAAGTTTGGGAGTTAATTAACATATACTTTATACCGTGTTAAAATGTATCCTCAATAGCTCAATAGATAAAATGGTTATTTTCATTGTAAAGAAATTGTGTGATTAAATGAGTACCTTCACGATGTCGCGATGACATTGTGATTAAGTGGGTATCTTCATAACATTGTGATGAAGTGGGTATCTTCGTAACATTGTGATGAAGTGGGTATCTTCATAACATTGTGATGAAGTGGGTATCTTCATAACATTGTGATGAAGTGGGTATCTTCATAACATTGTGATGAAGTGGGCATCTTCAAACATTGTGATGAAGTGGGTATCTTCATAACATTGTGATGAAGTGGGTATCTTCATAACATCGTAATGAAATGGGTACCTCACAACAATGTGATAAAGTGGGTATCTTCATAACATCGTAATGAAATGGGTAGCTCACAACAATGTGATAAAGTGGGTATCTTCATAACATCGTAATGAAATGGGTATCTTACTAATATTGTGACGAAATGGGTAGCTCATAACATTGTGATAAAATGGGTAGCTCATAACATTGTGATAAAATGGGTAACTTGATAACAATGTGATGATATGGGTAACTTGATAACAATGTGATGATATGGTTAACTTTATAACATTGTAATACAATGGATATCTTCATAACATTGTGATGAAATGTGTAACTTGATAACAATGTGATGAAATGGGTATCTTCATAACATGAAAATAAATAGTGTAACAAATCAAATTATTCATCCTTGAAATAACTGGTCCAGTTCCTTGCTTTTTGTTATGTCATAGAAAAACGTAATAAGACCTGTTAAACATATCATTCTTAGATATTATCCTTAATCATGTATCTTAGAAAATATTATGTATAGTGGGTGAAAAACAATATGCATCTGAGTAATCATTAGCCAATTACATTCATTTTCCTTTTAAATCTCAAAGTATCGAACTAGCTTTCTTCAAAATATATCTGCAAACATTAGGTATAATTTGAGTATCTGAAACAGAGATATTGCTTTTACTAGCTGACACACCATAAGATAGATAAAGGCAATAGCCATGGCCTAGAAGGCCACATAAGTTGTAGGTTTGTCTTAATGTTCATGATATTGTTGTTCTGTAGTATCTTTAAAGGACTCCTATGGGAATATAACAATTATATTTATAGTGTGATGACACTCGTTTGAGATTTACTAAGGTCAAAATAAACTGTTATGATCCACAGGGCAAAACCGATTGCGTTTAATGCAGGTTGTTAAATTGCTGGGAAAATATTGATAGCAGTAATGACCTTTAAAGTGATACTATGTCTTAGAATTAACATAAACTTGAATAATTTTAAATTTGGCGAATAAGAGCCAGTAGATATACCTGTTGTCATAAATAACATAACAGGATCCTTATATAATCCGATAAATCCAAAAAACTTAGTAATTATCCATAAATATGCAATTAACTATTGAAAAACGCTTAATATCAAAATTAAGATTAAGATTACTTAGTTTTATGAATTTTCCAATTTTCCAGAATTTACATGGATTCTGTTGTAACTTTATGACATCAGGTAAGCTAACTGATGAATATATACTCATATTGACCATTTCGAGAACTTAAATTTAATGTTCATTCTAAGACGTAGTATCACTTTAACATACGGTTTCCCCTTTTCAGTGCTGTAAGTTGGAGGGACTGACTTGGTAAAAGTGTCTAGCCTTTCGGATTGGACAATATACCGAGGCCCCATGCTGTGCACGTTAAACTTATGGAAATAAAGATAAGTATGCTAATGCCGCTGTTCTGACAAAATTTCCCTCATTGCACACTGCATAGCGTTGCCGATCTTCAGTATGATGTCAACTCCATTCATTTCATTTATCTCATAGCAGTAAGTGCTACAACAGTCTTCTGTGGTCAGAATGACCCTTCAGAACACATTTGCCTACATGGATTTTTTTTTTCTCAAAATATTTTACTTTCATAATATTTGTGCCCACACTTTTGTTTTATATTAATCAATTTAACCTTCAGATCGGGGGAGTTTTTCACAGTTTCAACTCTCCAACGGATCTTTCGATTGGCTTAAAATTTCATAGTGATAGTATTAAAACAGCGCGAGAATGGAATTAACTTTTATTGTCTTGGAGAAGTCATAAGAGTTTCTTGGAGTTCCAACGACCAGTTGAAAGGATCAGTTTGTTATAAATTTTGAAATACAAATTATTTTCAAAAATGCTGGTTCTTTTCACAACTTTGATCTTTATTGGATGGTCGTCAGGCGAGGTAAGTGTCAATTTTTTATCAATAATATTTTTTCATGAAAACTTCCAAATCACAAGCAGATTGTTGGTCTTATTATTGGGCCATCGACTTAACCACATTATTCTTAGAGGCCAAACATGGACGCCGATGCAGATTTCAGTGGTAGATTTCGCAAGCACCCGTGTTCTATCTCGACTTTTGTAACAGGGTGCATAAGGTTGTGAGAATTTTTGTTTTGTTTTGTAACGATGACAGAATTAGCTTCATAACGAATGAGTAAAAAATCATCGGACGAGTTCATTAGCAATCTTAGTTGAGCCTTGTGGTGAGGGTATTACGTTTTTTTTACTTAGCTTTAATAGAAGGCAGTATAATAATATACAGTTTAGACAATTTGACAATACAATAATACTTTCTTTACTTAATGAATATAAAGAAACAAACTGTTAGCTATTCGAACTCTCTGTAAGGTATACTGAGTTGACAAACCCAGTGTCTGGTATCGGGTTTTCCTGAGTTTCCCTGAATTTTATCTGTCAACAAGGTAATGAAAAAATGGTCTTTTACGTTCTACTTCTTTTGTTTTAAAGGAATACTGCGTCTTAGAATGAAAAATTAAATTAGGAATTTATAAGAGCATATATCATCAGTAGGATCGTTATATAATCCGATAAATAAAAAAAACTTAGTAATTATCCATAAATATGCAATTAACCATTGAAAAACGCTTAATATTAAGATATTTTCCAATTTTCCAGATTTTACAGGGATTTTGTTGTAACTTTATGACACCAGGTAAGTTCACTGATGAATATATACTCATATTGACTATTCTTGAGAACTTTATATTCATTCTAAGACGTAGTATCACTTTAACATTGGTGCTATATAGCGCTTTTTTTTGTAATTTTGCACCTTAATACATTTTATATTACATTTCAACAGAAATGACGGACAACGACATATTTGCTATGTGAATTTCAAATTTCAATTAATAATAATAATAATAGTTCACTTATATGGCGCAAATTACTTTTCAGTTCCTATTGCGCCCTCAAACGCCGATTAAACATCATTTAACAACATGTTAAATTGACAAAGTAAGAGACATAGGCATTGCCAAGAGGTTAGTGGGGACTGTTTTGTTCACCTTCCCCCCTTCTAATCAGAAGCTGTCAGGCGGTAGGGGGCGGATAATCTTTGTTGTAAATGATTATTTTCATGCCATCTGATAACAAAAGCTTCGAGTATATATTCTTTACTCTCTATTCCGTCCTCCAACTACCCAACAGAAGGGTTTCCCCTACTTCTAATCAATAACTGTCAGGCGGTAGGAGGATAATCATTGTTGTAAATGGTTAATTTCTTGATTTCTGAAAACAAAAGCTCGAGAAGATATTCTCTACCCTCTATTCCGTCCGTGGCATGGAAAAGGCGTCTAGTCGTTCGGATGGAACAATAAACTGAGGCTCCGTGTGCAGGCTTTACGGGTTAAAGATCACTCGACAGTTGGAAATTGAAAGAGAGTACGCTGTTGTAGCTGGTGTGGCAAATTTTCTTTCATTGCACATTGCATGGCGTTGCCCACCTTGATTAAGCCATCAAGTACTTTCAACGCCCGTGTTACTGTATTCTCAATTGCTGACTGTGTTTAACAAAGTTACTTGAGAAATTGCTAAAAGACGAAAATAATTTTCATTGGGTGTTTATACATCATCATGATAATGGTTTAGAAAAGCTCTTGATGACATGTTTAGATTGTTAATGGATAAAAAA